CATCCCAGGTATGCAGGGGTGGTTCAATATATGGAAATCCATCAATGTGATCCACCATATTAACAAACTGAAAGAAAAAAACCACATGATAATCTCCCTAGATGCTGAAAAAGCATTTGACAAAATCCAACATCCATTCATGTTTAAAGTACTGGAGAGATCAGGGATACAAGGCACATATCTAAACATAGTAAAGGCGATATACAGCAAGCCTATAGCCAACATCAAACTAAATGGAGAGAAACTTAAAGCAATCCCACTGAAATCAGGGACAAGACAAGGCTGCCCACTCTCTCCATATCTCTTCAACATAGTGCTAGAAGTCCTTGCTAGAGCAATAAGACAGTTGAAGGAGATCAAGGGGATACAGATGGGAAAGGAAGAAGTCAAATTATCACTATTTGCAGATGATATGATAGTATACATGAGTGACCCCAAAAACTCTACCAGGGAACTCCTACAGCTGATAAACACCTTCAGCAAAGTGGCCGGATACAAAATCCACTCAAAAAAATCAGTAGCACTACTGTATACAAAAGACAAAAGGGCTGAGAAAGAAATTAGAGAAACAATACCATTCACAATAGCCACAAATGACATAAAGTACCTTGGTGTAACCCTAACCAAGCAAGTCAAAGACTTGTATGAAAAAAATTTCAAGTCTCTGAAGAAAGAATTAGAAGAAGATATGAGAAAATGGAAAGATCTCCCATGCTCATGGCTTGGCAGGATTAACATAGTAAAAATGGCCATCTTACCAAAAGCAATCTACAGATTTAATGCAATTCCCATCAAATTGCCAACACAATTTTTTACAGACCTGGAAAGAAAAATTCTCAACTTCATATGGAATAACAAGAAACCGAGAACTGCTAAAACAATCCTCTACAATAAAAGATCTTCTGGAAGTATCTCCATCGCTGATCTCAAGCTGTACTATAGAGCAACAGTTATAAAAACTGCATGGTACTGGCATAGAAACAGAATGGTGGATCAATGGAATCGAACAGAAGACCCAGAAATAAACCCACACACTTACGGACACCTGATTTTTGACAAAGATGCCAAAATCATACAATGGAAAAAAGATAGCATCTTCAACAAATGGTGCTGGTCCAACTGGATGTCTACATGTAGAAAAATGAAAATAGATCCATACTTATCATCCTGCACAAAACTGAAGTCCAAGTGGATCAAAGACCTCAACATAAAACCAGACATATTATTTCGGCTAGAAAAAAAAGTAGGGAATACCCTAGAACTCATTGGTACAGGAGAAAACTTCCTGAACAGAACACCAACAGCACAGGCGCTAAGAGCAGCAATCAATAAATGGGACCTCATGAAATTGAAAAGCTTCTGTAAAGCAAAGGACACCATCATCAAAACAAAGCTATTGCCTACAGATTGGGAAAGAATCATCACTAATCCTTTATCTGACAGAGGACTCATATCCAATATATATATAAAGAACTAAACAAGCTGAAAAGCAACAAACCAAGTAATCCACTTAAAAAATGGGGAACAGAGCTAAAGAGAGAATTCTCTGTAGAGGAATATCGAATGGCAGAGAAGCACTTAAAGAAATGCTCAACCTCATTAGCCATTAGAGAAATGCAAATCAAAACAACCCTGAGATTTCACCTTACACCCCTCAGAATGGCCAAGATGAAAAACTCAAGGGACAACACATGCTGGAGAGGTTGTAAACTTGTACAACCACTCTTGAAATCAATCTGGCGCTTTCTCAGACAACTAGGAATAGCGCTTCCTCAAGATCCAGCCATACCACTCCTAGGCATATACCCAAAAGAGGCTCAAGTACACAAAAAGGACATTTGCTCAACCATGTTTGTAGCAGCTTTATTTGTAATAGCCAGAAGCTGGAAACAGCCCAGATGCCCCTCAACTGAAGAATGGATGCAGAAACTGTGGTACATCTATACAATGGAATATTACTCAGCAATGAAAAATAAGGAAATTATGAAATTTGCAGGTAAATGGTGGGACCTGGAAAGGATCATCCTGAGTGAGTTGTCCCAGAAGCAAAAAGACACGCATGGTATATACTCACTCATATAAACATACAACATAGAATAAACCCACTAAAATCTGTACATCTAAACAAACTAAGCAAAAGAGAGGACCCTAACTAAAATGGTCAATCCCCATCCTGAAAGGCAAAGAGGATGGACATCAGAAGAAAAAGAAAATAGGAAACAACCTCGGAACCTGCTACAGAGGGCCTCTGAAAGCCAGAAGAAAACAGGAAACAACCTTGGAACCTGCCACAGAGGGCCTCTGAAAGCCTCTGCAGTATAGACTGTCAAAGCAGATGCTGAGCCTGATGGCCAACTGATGGGCAGAGTGAATGGAATTTTATGTAAGAAGTGGGAAATAGTAAGAGCTGGAGGGGATGGGAACTCCACAAGCAGAGCAACAGAACAAGATAATTTGAACACAGGGAACTTTCCAGAGACTCATACTCCAACCAAGGACTATTTGTGGAGATGACCTGGAACCCCTGCACAGGTGTAGCCCATGGCAGTTCAGTGTCCAAGTGGGTTACATAGTAATGGAAAGAGGGACTGCCTCTGACATAATCTGATTGGCCTGCTCTTTGATCACCTCCCCCTGAGGGGGGAGCAGCCTTACCAGGCCACGGTAGAGGACAATGCAGCCACTTTTGATGAGAACTGATAGACTAAGATCAGAAAGAAGAGGAGAACCTCCCCTATCAGTTGACTTGCGGAGTGGCGTGCATGCAGAAAGGGGAGGAAGGGTGGGATAGGGAGGGGAGGAGGGAGGGGCTTATGGGGGGGTACAAAATGAATAAAGTGTAATTAATAAAAAAAAATCAGGAACATTTGCATATAACCCTATACACATATTCAAGTATTTTATCAGGGTAAAAACCAAGAAACACAAATGTTTTAGCAGAGAATCCGTACATATTTTACTTCGGTAATACTAAAAGAATAACCAGAAAGTATGCTTTTTTTGATGATGTGCCAGTCTTTCTTCATACTAGGGAAATGAGTCAGAGGAGAGCCTTATCGTGACCAAACATGGCACCTCTGTGAGGGTGAAAACCCTGTGAGCGTCTCCATCTCTAGCAGTGTTCTCTCCTTCTTTTCTACCATTTTTCCACACTGATGTATACATCTCTAGAATCATGTCAAGTTCTGCTTCTCTTTCTTACTCTATTCCCCACCCAAAATCATAAAAGGAGTGTCATCTGGTCTCTGCAGGTTAGTGTCAGTGTGTTCTAAACATGGCGTGCACCTGACTTCAGTCCAACATGGACGGAGGATCTGCTGCTCTCCATCAAAGTTTCATGCTGTCACAGCCTGATCTGAGACTATTGACATTTCAAATTCTTGGACTAAGTAGCAACTTAGGTCTTAGTCTGTTCAGGGCATAGATTGGACACTGTTGATCTATTCAGTCCATAGTGTGTAAGTAAGTTAGTATAATGAATGTCTTTTTAATACGTGTGTGTGTGTTTTTCTCAGTTCTCTTTCTGCTGAAACCCTAACAAATGCATTCATAATAAGTGATTAATATCTTCATATCTTTGTTATTGTCTTCCTGAATCAAAGGATCATTACACTATGTTGTTCATGTTTCTTGCATATTGGCATAAAAAGCAAAAATTAGAAAAAAAAAAAAGAGAAAAAGATCTTTTGTTAAGCCCATCTACCCATCACCAGTTCAGTGTGCCAAGTCCATTTTGTTCATGAACAACTGTGAACAGATGTATTACTGATTACATACATTAAAGAGGAAAGGAATGGAGAAACTGAACATTCACACTTAATTTTAATGCTTCACAACACCGCGTAAGTCTGCCATAATGTAAACCATGATGGATGGATTGTTTCCAAATTAAAACTTGAACCAGTGTCAGCTTATGCTAGTTTTTCATTGACAGCATTCTGATGTAGAACTCGCTCAGTGTTTAATAGCTCAGAACAATGCATGGAAACATTAGATGATAAAAACCAGCAAGATATTTTTCTATTCTATTCCATGCAAACAGAAAAAGACAAAAAGACCCAACAAATTGATTCCATTTAGAGCACTGCCTTCTACTTGGCACCCATACTTTACACTAGATGAGTGAATGAGGAATAAAAATGCATGACCGTGTGTGGCCCAGCAGCTAGGATTAACTATAATGTAGATTCCAGCTTACTAAGAGGTTGAATATTTCCAAATACTCAGAACCATTTGATGTTGAAAATGGCTGTTAAGAGGTTTAGGTAGAAGGTGTTCTATAAAAAGCATGAGTGTATCAAACAGGATTCAGTTCTTGGGCCCCAAGTAGAACTTTATGGTCTTGAAGATGCTAACTAACCCTCAGGCTTTCAGCTAGCAACATGGGGCCTTCTCAAGTCTGGGACATTATATCAGCTACAATCTGCAGGATTTTAATCCTGCAATAAGAGTTGTGAACAACTTTTCAAATCAAAGGGGGAAATACTTTGTTTTCTTCTATAACTCTTAAAGCATGTTTAACACACACATACCACCTACCCATTTGGATATAAATATCTATCTATATCTATCTATATCTATCTATCTATCTATCTATCTATCTATCTATCTATCTATCTATCTATCTATCTATCTATCTATCTATATCTATATCTATCTATCTATCTATCTATCTATCTATCTATCTATCTATCTATCTATCTATCTATCTATCTATCTATATCTTCCTTTAGTTGAATTGACCGCACTACAGACTCTTTCCCATTTCTATTTTCTCTTTTTCCCTCAAAATTCATGTTTGACAGACTAAATCCAAAATGGGTTTCCTTACAAACAAAGGTTTCCTTTAAGATTTTGTCCATAGGGAAGGAAAATAAAAAAACATGCAACAGGAGGATTAAGTACATTATCCCTTGAAGTACTGTATTTAATCAGAGAAAATGATCCTTATGCCATGAATCCAGTGTCTGCTTTAATAACAGGGCAGTTTAGCTACTCACCACAAATGAATAATAAATCTTGAATCCAGGTTTTGCCACAAAGTAGTCATCGGACTTGAATGTGATCTTAATCTGGTTTGTTCTTGACGTTATCCTTGGGGGGATTTCCTTGTGGCCACACCACCTCCCTCTGACAACAGTGCTGGTCTCAGAGATATCTTCAACTTCCACAAAATCATACCTAGAAACAATGTGATTTCATTAATGTTTTTATTAATGTTGGTTTTAGTCACTGAGAAATCAAGACTCACTCATGATTTCTTATGACTTACTCACTAACTGAAAACAATAAACTGTAGAAATGTGCAAAACCAAAATCTAATTTAGGCAATGTTTGCCAAAAATTATATAATTAAATTCAACATTATACCCCAAGAGAACACTGATTTACTCCATTATAACAATGACAATGCCCTGTATCATTAAACAGAACTTTCAGAACACAAAGCTTAGAAGGTTTTCTGGAAAAACAAATAGTTGCAATACGTTGACATACTTTAGAGGTAGGTTGAGTTACATGTACAAATATTCACAACCTGAAGCTTGCAACCCACTTTCCATTTTGAATCAATTTGCTCCACTAAGGCTTCCTTGAGAAGTGCGTGACTGACATCTCCATAGACCAAGGAGTCTCTTTTCTTTAAAATTTGTGTTGTAGAAAGACCACATGATAAAGGAAAACATACACCGTTTGGAGCCATGTGTGCTAATCAGTAACTGCAGCAGGTTGTGAATCAGTTTTAACACAGGATCACAGCTCTGTCATAGAAACAGGATCCCAGCACTATAAACAACAGCACAGATCCATTAGTTACTCTGTGTACTCATTTCATCTTTGTAGTTTCTCCACCCATCCCAGCCTAATGTTCTTTCCGTGACAAACCTACATTCTCTCTGGAGCATTTATCCTATTGTAGGACCCCTCAGATCATGGACCATTCTACAAGATCCATTAAACAATCTGTCTAACAGTTGGTCAAAATTCTTACTCCTTATCTCTACCGTTTCCCCAAGTGACTTCACAAAGTCACAAGCAAATGTCAGGTACTCTGGTGAAGAGGCAAAAGTCTCACATACGTCTTTGGATTGTTTGTTTGTTTGTTTGTTTTCTCATTAGAAAGCAGCATAAGAAACATCAGGTCCTAATGTAGAGAAAAAAAAAACTGGAATTTATTGTTTTTACTTACTTGCATTGGGAAGGGTGATATAAAAAAGAGCTAAAAATAATAACATGCTGACTACATATTCCTGACAGTGATTTATGAGGCCCTTATGTTCTTTGACTCAGTTTCTCTGTAGGCAAAATTAAGTTTATATAATTTTAGCAGCTAGATATCTCCTGAGTGCTGTGATAATTAATTATTTAATGTTTATATGGCTCTTGGAAGGTTATTTTTAACAGAGAAAGAGTCATTATTCAAGCAAAAAAGTTTTGCAATGTATACAGCAGTGAGGTTTGGGAGCAGATGGTAAAAATCAATTGCATTTTATTTTATATATAGTATATATAAATCATATTTACTACACAAGCATGAATCTATTTGAAAAAATTTTAATAACACCAGGTCACTTTTATTTTACAAAATTCAGTGTAATCTGAAGTCCTCCCCATGCTAGGGAGGACTGTGGATTAGGCTCTGTTTCATCTCTTTCATCCTTTTATGGTTCTACGTCATCCTGGAAAATTTGAGAAGCAACTTGAATTGATGAACAGTCCAGAAAATAAACCATTCTAATACTTGTTTGAATATTGTCTAGGATCGAAATCCTACTTCATCCGTGGCTTCCTTTCTGTAATAAGAAAACAGACATCTGGTATTTTTTTTGGTTCTATCCTAACACCTCTGGAGTTTCCAAGTGATAGAATGAGCAGAGAATCTTTTGTTATCTACTACAGTTTATGTTAATGAGGATGGAGGCAGTGCACCAAATAGCTCAAAGAATGATTAGAGGTTTAGAACTTCAGCTCCAGGTCTATAGCTTGAGGGAGCAGAGAGAGCTTGGAGACTGAGTTTAATCACCACCCATGCCCAATATCCATGCAATGAACTCTCTGGGTTGGTGAAGCATCAAGGTTGTTTGGAGAAGGTTCTCTTTCCATGTACTTTACTTTTGTGCATCTCTTCTGTGGAGCAATTCTTGAGCTGCATTCTCTATATAAAACTGGTAACCAACAAGCCAAGGACTTCTGAGATTTTTGTGAGCTGTAATAGCAATTCAGCAAAGCCAAAGAGGTGTTGTGGGTCTCTCTGATTATACTTGGTGGAAGATGGAAGGCCTGAGACATGCCATTCAACAAAGGGGAGACTCGTGGGACTGAAGTCTTGTCCTGTGAACTTGGATGCAAACCCAAGTGACTATGTCAGAATTAAACTGAACTGTAGGACACTCAGCTGGTGTTAAAGAATTGTTTGGGGTAGAAAAAACAAGACTCCCAACCTCGCATATTTTGTGTTTGTGATGATGCATAATTGTCAATATGATGAAATTTAGAATAACTAGGGATATCTGCCTCTAAGAAGGCATGTGGGAAATTATTTGCATTAGGTTAGTAGAGGTTGGAAGACATGTCCATAGTGGAGGCACCATTCCCTGGGCCTCGGTCCTGGATTGCATAATAACAAAGAGCTGAGCACCAGCACTCATCACTCCCCATTTCTTGATTGGCATTGCACTGTGGACAGCTGCTTTGACTTCCATGCTCTGATGGACCATGCATTTGAACTCTAAGACAAAATGAACCCTTTATTCCATGAGGTATTGTCAGGCTATTTTAGCATAGCAACTGAAAAGGAAGTGAAGACAGTGTCAGACTTATCCTAGATGGAAACAGATCATACTACCATCCTTGTTAGCACCTTTCACACCCTTTCAATAACATTTTTTTCTTTGTTTTTTTTTTTTCCTTCTTTTTCCTCCCTTTTTTGTCAGCACAAATAAAAAATAGTTCTTTCTTTCAAGGTTGAAAAGACACAAGATCGGCTTTAGTTTATTCTCATTGTAAATATTAACTAGCTCTTTTCATGTGTATTTGTCTCTGCTTTCTGGCATACATTACCCTCTGTGGTCCTAGAAAATAATAGTCACTGCTATTATTTTTTTCTGGGAAAAAAATAGCAGCATAATAAAAGCTGTCAGTATAATAAATATGCAACAAAGGACAACCAAATTGGACGCACCTCTTTTTATTATTCAAAGGAAAATAAACTGTGGAGAGGATTTAGTAGTTCAGGAGTTCATTGGCAATGCAGAACAAGTACAGCCAGTAAAGCACAAAGAGGTAAAAAAAAAATTCCTCCCAAGTCTCAGGCAGGATAATTAAGGGAATAAGATGCTGTGAGCTAACAAGTCAAGGAACAACAGCCTGGACCTTCTCTGATAAGCATGCAAATGAGGGAGGGTGATTCACCTGCTTTCTTCTTCTGAAGAGCACACACATTCTGAGGTTGTCTCTGTTTCCTTCTCATGCCTAACAGTGACATGTTCAATCAGAGAACCCTGACCTGGTTCCCTGTCACCATCTCTGTGGCCATTCCCAGCAAAGGGCCATTAGGAAACTGATTGGTCGCCCAAAGCGATATAACATGCTCTCTCTTCCGGAATAGACAAGTCTGCATCTGCTTACCCTCGGATTGCATTCACCAGACTCCTGATGTCTGTGTACTGACTCTGCACCACTCACCCCCTTGGCCTGAACCCCCTGTCCTCACCAGGCTGAACCCTTGGGAGGAGGATCAACACATCTGTTGGCATGGTTACAGTGGCCTCATCCCTCGGAGCCAGAAGGTGCTTTGACCCTGGGCCTGTGGCAGACAATGACCAGGGTATGCAGCTCTGGGAAAGGGAGGGTTGCAGGATTGGGCACATCTACATGCTCACAAAGGCCTCCCTGGGCCGTGGGAATTCGCAGATCCCCAGAGCCTATTCTTTTCAGGGAAACATGAGGTTGTGACTGATTGTGTACATTTTTGAGAGCCTTCTACAGAGCCAACATAACACTTAAAAAAAAAAAGAATGGCTATTGTAATTGTGAATAATGATTTAAAACCTGACAGAATCTAGTATCATCCAGGGGACAAGCTTTTGGCCATGCCTGTGAATGATTATCTTCATTAGGTTAGTTTGAAGAGGATGGTCTACCCTAAAAATGGTAGTACTGTTCCCCAAGCTAGGATCCTAGACTGCATGAAAAGGAGAGAAGAAGATGGCTACTGACTCCGTCACTCTTTTTCTTCCTGACAACAGATACAACATGGCCAACAACTACAACTGAAATGATATCCTCAAACTGTAAGCCAAAATAAACCCTTCTCCCTTATATTGCTTTAGTATAGGATTTGGAAAGTATGTAATAAAAAAATGTGTTGGCTAATTCCAAAGAGTTTAATAAGAATATTGGATGTGATGATTTTAATTCCTGTTCCCCCACTTTCATTCGAGCACTAACAAGGATTTTGTTCTCTTACCTACAGATATCATTTTCTGCTTCCTCTAGTCCAAACTGATGGTCAAAGGCTAGCTGTATCCGTGTTTTCTCCTGGGAATGGAGCCGCCATGTCAGGAGCAGGTTCCGTGGGTAGCTGTTGGGGAAGCGAGGACTCTGCACGTGGCCATTGCCTGTCACCTGAACATGCTCATCTCTCCGGTACAAGTCTGTGAGGTGATTGCTCTCTGTTAGTAGTCACAACTTGTAAAAATTAGTATGTTGCTCCAATTACAGGAAAGCAAGAAAAGAGAACAATTCACAACATGACATTTCAATGCACTTCTTGATTTATATTGCGAATATAAAACCAAGTGGTACACTTGGGTCAACAACAACAACAAAGAATACACATTTTTATTTTGTCTGCTTCCCCAAACTCTTTACAGCTCCCTGTGCCTGATACTTTTGAAAACTTAGTGCTTCCCTCCATTACTCTTTGAGATCGCAGACCTTAAATTCATTTAGATTGGACTCAAATGTGAGAATAACTTCAAACAGTTAGTTCACCTTTTTTCTTTACTATGTTTTACAAATAATATAATTAAGTGTAACAGTATTTTAGTGATGACAGTGTTCAATAAATAGTGCTGAATGACTGAGTAAAAAAAATAAAGACAGATGAAGAGATTCTATTAACATTCAAGGACCACTTATGATTTGTTTAAATAAAAAGTTTTAAGTGAGTCTTTCTATAATAAACCCAGGACATTTTTCTTTTCTGGCTTTCTTTGACTTAAACGGATCTAATCTGTGTTGCATTTTCTGAATGCTTTATAACAAAGAATAGATTTGGTTTCTGTCTTGGTTTCCTGGGAATAAGCTCAAGACACTTGAAATTCCCAAGTGGTTACGGAGATCTTTGTTTTCATGATGGGGTCCCTGCGACTACATCTAAGTTTCTGCTCATGGAGAAATTTACCATGGACTCCTGAGGGAGTTTCAGGATGGGCACTAGACACATCAGAAAGATCATGTTGTTAAAGAGGTGGTTCGTCGTGGAACATCTGACTGGAGCTGCCAAATTCTAAAGATGACAGTGGGGCTGGAGATCTACTCCACTGGTTCAGCCAACCATGCCCGCATAATGAGACCACAGTAAAATCTATGAACACTCTTGAAGCTTCCTGCTTGTGACACCACCAGGGAAATGTGGAACCTTCCAGGACTTACCCTCTGAGTCTTACTATTTTAGCATTCCTAATTTTGGTGCTTTGGTATCAACTTTCTTGTACAGTGTTTTCCTGAGTTCCTGAAGGGTTACATATGGGACTCTTGAATTAGTAGCCATTTAGCCAGCAGTTTAGGTATCTTGAAATTTGTAGCAAGTGTCTGAATTGAGAGAAAGTGTTGTGGGCCTGAACATTTAATCTGTGAAATGACTAGAAGAATTCAAATCAGAACTGCATTTCTGCATGGTGGACATCATTTTGTATGTTTCGGGTTCAGAGTTCTTTGCATTTTTAGGGTTCTTGAACAGCATAATATACAGACCACTAACTACAATCTATTTGAATCCTCCTACTAAGAATTGCTTTGAGGCCTGTAATTCAAGTGAGCCTGATCAGAGAGGTTAAAGGTGCTAGTGGAAGACCTAAGAGGCGGAGCTGCTGAAACAGGCTGTTAAAACTTCTAAAAAAAAAAAAAAAAAAAAAAAAAAAAAAAAAAAAAAAAAAAAAAAACTTCTAAAATAAGGGAGGACGGTCAGCAAGTGCTCATATCCATAGATGCAAATGAAAACTTTCTTTGGAACTCATTGGCTAGTTAATACATGTAGCTTGCTCAAGCAGACTGAAGGAGAGGCAGTCAGTGGGGGCAGCTGAGGTCCCCTCTATGGGTTTGGATTACAGCACTGGCTCTGTAACAGACAACCACAAAGGGCTGAGAACCATTGTCTCTAAAAGCTAGGAACATATGCAGATGGCCTTCTTCTCTTTACCCTTGACATTATACTGAAAAACACTGGTTGTCTCCCTTTGTCATGAGAGGTGTCGGCGAACCGAGGCAAACACTGTTTTCCAGGCCGACTGATGTGCACCCTCAACCAGTCAGCAATTATTCATCAAATGCAGAAAAACTGTAATATACCACAGCATCCTGTTCACAACTGCTGTGCTATTTTTCTTAGACTTAATATTGCGGATGGCTTGGATTTTTTTTAAGTAAAATTCATGTTTAATAAACAATAAGTTTATTCTGAAATACAAATTCATACCTAAAATATCAAAAGCCCCTAGATACAATGAGTCGTGAATAGAAGGAAGCGTATGTCTAAACAAATAGTTTCTAAATTCCGAAATGCTACCTCAGGAGCTCAGGTTTCTCATTTATGTACTAAAGGATTTGGGGGCAAAGTTTCTCTTTGGTCTTTTTAAATACTCAGTGGTTGCATGCATTATGTGTGTGTATTTCCTGTTCCAGATGCTATGCTGGATTTGGATATAACTGGAAGAAACTGAAAGAATTTATCCCATTTTCTTACATGTAAACAAAGTGGAGGTTTGTCACACAGGGTAAACAAGGTCCACAGGAACACTAGGAGGCAGCTGAAAATTCTAAGGGCATCTGTTGTCCAGAGGCTGGGTGAACTAGAGAGATGTGATATGAGATGTAGGCTGGGATAATGGCAGAGGCCGGTCCATCAGAGTTCAGCTGGACTCTTGATCCAGAGGCTGCCAAGATGAGTTCGGAAACACCCTCATGCCACACTTAGGTGTCTGCAAGAGATACGAGTGCAAACAGGAAAGCTCTGGAAAGAGCAAGTGGCTTGTCAAAAGGAAGATCAACGCTCTAGGGGTGGTAAAGATGAATGACAAGAAGAGTGAACCGCCATAGCAGTGAGGTTCTGTCACAGACGGGAAGGTGGTAGTGAAGCCCAATGTCAAGAGGGAGATGTAGCAAAGAACCAAATGCAAAAGTATGGGCCCGAGGCTGCAAGAACATGATAGATCAGGTGCTAGCCACAGGCCCAGCAGGGTGCATAGATTCTTTACTTGCTGCCGTGATCAAGTGCCCTGACAAGAACAACTTAAGGGAGGAAGGACTTACTTGGCTCAGTATTATAGTTTATCATCACTGGAAAGCCAAGATGGTAGAGACTTGAAGCAGGTGCTTGCATCAGATTGACAGTCAAGAACAGAGAACCATCCATAACAGACAGTCTCTGCCACTAACTGTAGGCTAGGCAGTTCCTTACACATGTGCCTGGAGTTCTGGCTCCTCAGTGTCAAGTGGAAAATGAACACCAGTCATCACACAGAGTACCTGTGATCCCCAGGGCCAGTGGGAGAGTTCTTTCAGAAGACATGCATTATCAATGTGATGTAGTGATGAGGAATGCAAGGGGAAATGCTACCAGGCTTGTGGATAGGTGGCTGGGCCTGAGATGAATGGAGGAGATATGAGCATAGAGCTTCCAGAGGGACGATCATAGAGGGTGCAATGAGTCCCCAAGGCACAAGTGTGGTGCCATCAATCCTAAAGCGCTGAGGAGGAAGGCCAAGCTTGGTGCTGGTGGACATGCCTGGGTATCAGGTGACAACAGGGCTGTTTCAGGAAACCACAAGTGTCACCAGGAGAGAAACCATATATGAGCTAAGATGCCCCTTCAAAAAGACACTTTCATATGCCAAAGACCAAGGCCAAATAGACAGAGGAAGGACCACTGAACATAGCAACAGTGAAGTCAAGGGCATCCATTAAAGGGGCCACATTGAGAGACCGTGTGCTAAGAGTGTTCTAATTCTTCTATTTTAGGACATCATTAAAGGCTACATCATCTTAATGATGTCAACTGTGTTTATAAAGAAAACGTCAATTACATTTTTTTCTTCTTCTTATTATTATTAATTACACTTTATTCATTTTGTATCCCCCCATAAGCCCCTCCCTGTTCCCTCCCGATCCCACCCTACTTCCCCTTTCTTCATGCATGCTCCTCCCCACATCCACTGATAGGGGAGGTCTCCTCTCCTTCCTTCTGATCTTAGTCTATCAGATCACATCAGGAATGGCTGCATTGTCTTCTTCTGTGGCCTGGTAAGGCTGCTCCCCACTCAGGGGGAGGTGATCAAAGAGCAAGCCAATCAGATTATGTCAGAGACAGTTCCTCTTCCCATCACTATGTAAGCCACTTGGACACTAAACTGCCATGGGCTACATCTGTGCAGGGGTTCTAGGTTATCTCCATGAATAGTCCTTGGTTGGAGTTTAAGAAGGCAGTGAAATAGGTGGATAGGGAAGATTATTATATATATTGTATATTCTTGATTACAGAACTCATTGTATTGAATAAGAATGGAAATTAACAGTTTTCTAGGAAATGTTTTCCTTATAACTCTTTTTTTCCTTATAAATCTCTTCCAGAATATACATGAATATAGATTAAATACAAGGAGCAGAAGATTACAGCGGTGTTTGTTTTGTGCCAGACATTGTTTTAAACTCTTCTCATTTAGTTTCCAGGGTCTAGTCATTGATTGTGTGTGTGTTCTCTGTAGTAGGCATTATTACAAATGTCACTATCATTATTTGACATCTGAGGTTTTTGGAGCACAGGAAGTCGTAGCTTTCTCAGAGTTCCAGAACTTGTGAAGGGTGTTGTGAGAACATGAATCCGGACAAGCTGGTCGTACAGTTGATGTTTTTAATGGCGGCGTGACTTGGGTGATGGTTGGGGAAAGTATTTGCGGCATAAACACAAGGACCTGAGTGTAGATGTGCAGCAGCCATTTAAAACTCGGCATCATGTACATGCATCATAATTGCAGGGCTCTAGTGGCAGATGGGAGCTGGAGACAGGAAAAGGCCTTGAGGGTCACTGGTCAGCTATCCTGGTGCATGCAGCAAGGAACAAGTGAGTCACGCTAGGTTAACGGTGAGAATGGACATCAGAGTGTGTCCTCTGACCTCAACGTGAGAGCCATTATACAGATAAGCCTGAAATTACCCTCTTTCCAAACAAACAAAATAACAATAACAAAACACAAAAAAACAAGCACACAAACAAACAAATAAATCATAATAAATAGGAGAAAGTGTTCTTCCTTTGAGTGTGAAATTTGCTGAGAGCAGTTTTTGATTCTTGGCTATTGGCAATACACCTTAATTTACACCTTAACTTCTGACTCATATTGTTTACGTATAATTTATAATGTCAAGCCAATTCAAGGTTACTCTTAGCAGGAGA